AAAAGAAGATAATAATTAATTCAAAGATTATATAAAAGTAAACTTATATTATTCATTCCCTTTTTTAGTACTAAAAAAATCATTTAATAATATATCCTTTAAAAATAAATTTTATTTATAGTATTTTATGGGTAACATCTTGAAAAAGCAAGAATTGGAAATTATTGATTTTTGTGTGTACATATTTATTTTTTGTATTAATAATATTTTGTCACTGTTAGCAATTATTTTTATGAAAAAGCAACATAGAACCATTGGTATCTAACACGGTAGAAGTCAGAATTGTAGAATTTTTAAATTTTTAATAAAATATTATTGATTATAATTTATAGATTTTTGATAACCAACAAATGATCTTTATAAGGTAATATCTAGTACTGTTGTTTCTATTGTAATTTTAAAAAATATGTTTTTAACATTCTCGTTTAAAAAAACTTAAATTGCTTCTTTCATAGTTCTAGTTTCTTTTTAAATGTTATCATATAACATGTTTTAAGCTTTTACAATAGAGATCAAATCTTTCTTCTTAATGCTAATTGTTTTAGGTCATAATAATTATATATTGGGCATTATTAATTTATGTGCCTTCTATATTTGATTTTATATCTTAATTCATAAAAGTATTCTCTACTAACCATAAAAGTATAAAATTATATCTTTATGATTTCTTTAACCAAAACTCAAAAAACTAGTAATTGCATTCAGTGTCAAAATCAATCGTTTGACTCAATCTTTGAAGATTAAAAAAAATTGAATTGTCTAATGTCTTTACATTATGTTTTAGCTTCTAATGAAATTGAGTAATGAGAGAAGCAAAATCTTAATACCACTTAAAGATTTTTAAAATTGTAACATATATATACTTTCTTTTTATAAATGTTTTTGGTTGGTGTACAAAGTTCACAATACTTTTGATATACAAATCAAAGTTTACGATAGAAATGCATCAAGGTCTATTAGAAAAAACATGCTCTAAAATACAAAAAAAATGGACTTTGTCTAAATGTTTTTGAATTGGTATATAATACATAAGTCTTAAAAAAGTGATATTTAAAACAAAATACAAATAAGTGGTTTTACAATTATAAATTGAAATAAATGAGTATATTTAATATTTGAAATCTTGAATTATCTTGCCTTGATAAGAAAATGCTGATTTTCATCTTACTATATCTACATTTACTTTTTAAAACCGAATTTCATTTTTACTTATGAAGGTAATTATTTATTCTATTTTTTAAAATTTAAAGTTTACTTTTTATGTTTAATATACATTAAATTCATCTTCTTAGAATTCCTTATAATATTACATATATTCTTTGCAATATTTGTATAAAAAGTTCCATAGCATATATATGTGCTTATAAATATAAATATGAATACATATGATTATTTGAAAATAAAATAGTATTATATCAACCATACAAGATTAAATTTACTATAAGTGAAATATTTGTTCTATGTCATAAATAAAGAACATTCCAATTTTGGAAAATAAAAATATCTTTACATCTGATGTAGTTTAATTTTGATTAAATTTCAAAATGAAGTAACACACTTTATATATATATATATATATATATATATATAATCAATAATTAATCACATGCTGGTAATTAGAATTATGATTTATTTCTTTGTGGCATGACTTTCTTTACAGTCTTATGCTCCATGGTTGTCTCCTTATTATCTACATATGGATAATGCTCACACCTCAAAGCCCACTTAGTTTTCCACTCATATTCCAAATGAACATTTTGATGTTTAATAGAGATATCAAAAACCTAATTCCTAGTTTTTAGAGGGTGTTATACTAATCTGTAGTGTGAAGGAAAATTAGGGTTTTGCGGCATCCTTTTGAAAAGGATCCCATGCAGACCACACAATACTCATCTGGTTAGACTTCTAACACCATTAATGAAGCGTTGCCAGTGGATTGACAACTTGAAGCAGATTAAGCTTCAGATAAAAATTTGGAAGCATTTAAAGTTGTGAATGAATGAAATACATCAATGGATAGAGTACCAGTTTTCATCCAGAAGAAGTTTCATAAAACACACTTAACAAGATGTTTTTAAATATCCTTCCTATTTTCAAATTGAATATTAAAATTTAACAAAAAAATAAAAATAAAAATAAAATAAAAAAATCTCTGTGTTAGTTACATTTCAGCCCACAAGGTAGTTTATTTTAATTAATTCCCAAGATATGATTATTTCAATGATGTGGAACTGACCTAATTATAACATTAACACATATGCTCTGTTTAAAGAACGCCCACTTGTGTATTTGTTTATGTAGTGTTCTCCATGTTGATTGTTCCCCTAAAAACCACCAATTCCTAATAATTAATCAAATTTTTGAGAATTAATTATTTTCTTTGGAGCAAAATTGATAGCTTCTAATTTCTAATAATTTGTTTCTCTTCGTTGATTTTTATTATATAAAAAAGGTAATTGACAAATATCATATGGCCAATAGGGCTATGTGGGCCCTATATTATAGGGCCTTGGCAATACTGATTTTCATCCCCTACCTCTTAAAACTAATAATCTTTGTTAATCAATATTTTTTTCCCACGACAGATGATATTAATTAATGGGAAAACACCATATGTGTACATTTTCTCCTCTTAAAACCAAAACAAATATGTATTTCACATTAGATAATATGTTGTGATATATACATGTACATGTTTGTACGTACATATATTACAAAATGATAGTTTTTTTTTTATAAAAAAAGGGTAATAATTTGGAAATTACAAAACATTAACATGTTTGAAGTTACAGTCTAACATTATTTTTAAACTAGAGAGGGCCTAGAGTCCGTTAACTGCCAATCAAAGAGCTTGTTTTTTAGGGTTTGGATGACTCTGCAGATGATCTTCTGTGTCAGAATGGGCTAATAAAAGAATACATTTCAAAGGATCTACAATACATGATATGTATAAAATGGAATATACTAGATTCTATTTTCGCTTGTATGTGTCCTTCTGTGAAAAGTAATTGCATAGGTTCACTATGAAATCCTGGGCTAATTTTGGATGACAAATTTATATTTAAAATTGAAAAATTAAAGGTGTTTATATAGCACGATGGCTAACATAATTATCTCTTCACATGAATGCATGTATGGATGTGTGTGTGTGTGCACATATATATATATATATATATATATATTTATTAAAATTCACAAGTAGTTGTAAAGTTTACTTTGAATTGAGTTAATTTTTGTAAATCAGATTTTCAAGCAAAACTTTATAAATTGGCAATCAATTGATGTGTGTGTGTTTGTATGTGCAGAATATTTCATTACTGTTATAGAAGTTGCAAATGTACATGACATTGGTAACTTAAATCCACGTGATATACTACATCAAAAAAAGAGGATGTTAAATTTTGTAATGTATGCAACTTGCTCTCTTTACTAGCATTGTTTCTCACAAGAGATCCAATAAATGTATGGACCCATGTTGTGAATGTAAAGGTTTTTGAAAATTAAATGTTCATGCATAATGGTACATCAATGCAATTATTGTATTTATATATTTGTTAATCATATTTTGATTAGCAATATAAGGAGCATCATTTATTGAATGTGATTATGTCAATTAGTTTTACAGTGTGAGATCACTTTTAAACCAGTCTAACTGTTTTTGTAAATTTCTATCCATTTTAAGTCTTTTGTATCACTTCCATGAAATCTTTATTAACACAAAACAATTGTATTTCATTTGACCCAAATGTTCTTATTTATATCTTGTTTTTTCTTAGAGTGCACAATTGGCAGTAAGACAGATGCTCTTCAATCACAATTGCTAAGGAAACTTTCTTTTGGGTTGAGATTAAAACTTACATTTAATGGATACCACTTTGGAAATCTTAAACATATGGAAGTTTTTTTTTTTTTTTTTTTTTTTTTTTTTTTCCAATTTTTGTCAATATAAATATTTGCATGATATCTTGAATGAAGAAATTGCTTTGTTCCTCACTGCGTGAATTTGAAGTTGGTTTTAGAGATAACATTCTAAATTCTTATCTTTAAAGTCTACTCCAAACTTTTCTGTATTTTTAGATCACTGTATTATTAAACTAAAAATGAATTAGAAAACTATTATTTAGATAGAGAGAGAGAGAGAAAGAGATGCACACATGATCACACATAGAGCACATTTTTCTTTTTAATGCTATTAACAACTTCAAGTATAGTTGATACTACATTTTATTTTGTTTTTTGGTTTATTTTTTTTGTAGTTTTTATAGTTTGTGATTTAATAACTTCAATTTCTTTTATATATTTAATTCATTTATATTATTTAAAGCTAATGCCAATGGTGTCAATGTGCCACGATGAAAACTTTGACTAGCTTTCAACAAGTGCATACATGTGTACATAAATCACAAGTTCATGCAGGATAGTTAATGTAATAGGAATATAAGATACCCTCAATAATACTATTTACATATTCACAACCAAGAATCAAATATTTAAATAGGTCAAAATTACATCAAATTGTATTAGACATGGTTTACATAATTCTCATAATGTTTTTTTTAGTACATTCAAATTTATGTAGATTGTTGTTGTAACTCTTCAATAAACCTTGATGTAATTTTTGTTATTGATTCGAATTTGTTCAACTTGTTTTGGCTCACACAATGTTCCATATGTTACCAAACAAAAAAATAAAAATAACATTATTGATAAAGCATATACGGTACTTCAAAACTACCATGTTGCTACTCTTTGCAATAAGAACTCAACACAAGAATGGAGATGTTGATTGATTTTTTATACATTATAATGAAAATCACTATTTCTTTGCATGAAATTTAATTAGCATAAAAAAATTAATTTATAAATGTATAAATTTTATTTTCTATTTAAAGTACATAACGTACATACATGTACAACTTTAACTTTACTTTGTCATAAGAATAAAGGATTCAAACTAAACTTATAGTAGGAAAAGATCCTTATTCCCATCCTTATACCACAAGACTCTTCCAAGAAAAATATAGGACCAAGATACATTTTGAGATTACCCTCTAGTACTAAATAAATAAAATGAAATAATATTGCATTAAATATAATAATTTATCGCTACATTTATGTATACTTCATCTAATAAGGAAAGAAAAGACAAATCCATATTGGTGAAGCTGGCCTTCATCTACTGAAGTGTGTCCTTTTATCGGATGTGATCACATTCATCCATATCTCTACCCATCGTTCCCTCGCATTTGGAACAACACCTGGCGATGTGCGCACGACATGGGAACGGAGGAGAGAGCGCCTCGTCCCTCTCATTTTCAGCCAATTCAAATAAAACACATTTTCCCGGGCAATTCAAATGGATTGTGGCGGGGGCGGGAAAGTGGTGAAGGCGGAGACGGGGCCATCTCGCCCTCCACTCCCTGACACCTCTCTCCCCTTCTCCACATCTACCCTTCCCCTTGCGCAACATCTTCTCATTCTCACCCCCACTCTTCCTTCGTTTCGCACGCCCTTTTTCGTCGGTGCCTGACTTTCTGTGCGCTGCGCTGTTTCGCTGCGTATCCTTCCATTGCTGTGAGTGTGCTGTGAAATGCTAGTGGCCGCGTGACCGTGAGTTTGGTGTGTTCGCGTGCGTGCCTTGTTGCACTTCTCTATTGAAGTGGTAGGCTGTGCCGTTTCCCCCTGTTGGCTGAAGCGTACACGCGTGTGTGTGAGTGTTGTTGAGGAGTTCCGCTATGGCTGCCGCCGACTCTGCCACCGTTGTCGATGCTGCCCCTGCCCCCGAGGTTCCAGAGGAAATTCCTGCGGAAGAGATATCCGTGAAGCCGCAGAGGGGGAGGAAGGCCAAGGCGGCTAGTGTGAAGAAAGCCGAAGCACCAAAGGAGAAGAAAGTGAAAGAGGTTAAGGCGAAAGAGCCCAAGGTTCCGAAGGTGCCCAAGGCGAAGACCCCTGCGTCGCATCCCACGTATCTACTGGTAAGCCTTGTTTATGTGAAATAGCCCTGTAGTCTTACGATACGCGGTGGTATTTTGATGTGGTATGAGTTTTACTTGTAGTAAGGTGTCCTGAGATGCGCTGTCCATACCGGTCCTGCCTACCTGGTGAATGTGGTTGTGATGCCTTTATTTGTGTGGAAACCTATCCCTTTTTTTTGTGCGTATCACAGCATGACTTGTGTAAGGAAGCCTTGTTATCTAGTACCTATAGTAACTAAAGAATGTTGGTGCATGTCATTTCAGATGGCGACGGAAGCTATTGCTGCGCTAAAGGAGCGCACTGGCTCTAGTCAGTATGCTATCGCGAAGTACTTGGAAGACAAGTATAAGACAGGTCTGCCCCCTAACTTCAAGAAGATGCTGACCACCCAGTTGCGTAATTTGACAAAGGCCGGGAAGCTGGTGAAAGTGAAAAATTCGTTTAAACTGTCCGATGAATTGAAGAAGCCTCCGAAGGCGGCCAAGCCTGTGAGCCTACCCAAAGCCTCTGTGAAGGTCGCGCCCAAAGCTAAGGTCGTGAAGAAACCCGCGGCCAGTCGTGTGAAATCGAAGACCGCCAGGGTAGGTGCAACTAAAACCAAGGTATCGGGTGCGAAGGCGACGAAGGCAACAAAGCCGGAAGTTATGGCAACGAACGCTGCGAAGCTGAAGCGACCCATTAAAGTGAGTGGGGCTTCACCAAAGAAGGCCACGACGAAGGTATCTGCGCCCGTGAGGAAGACAGAAACTGCGAAGAAGGCAGTCACTGCGAAGAAGGCACCCGCTGCAGTAGAGACGAAGAAGCCCGTGTCGGGAAGAAAACCTCCGACGGTTCGCAAAACGAGTACGCCGAAGAAGGCTCCGAAGTCCGTGAAGGGTCCGAGCGCGAAGGCGGTGAAACCGGTTGCGAAGTCGAAGACGGCGAAAGCGGCAGGCCCACCAGCGAAGAAGGCCAAGAAGTGAGTCGCGACTTTTGATAACTAAACTGGTGTTTATGAACACCACCACCTCGGAGAAATGGTCAATTACATGCAGTGTAGAAGGTTTTCGTAATGTGAAAGGGAAATTGGGTGGGTGTATGTCTGATTTTATAACGCACCGGTTCGGGCTTGTCAGTTCGTGGTGCAATGCGAACGAGTGACTGGTGATTGATTCTCTGGTGGAAACTTGTGAATCAATCACGAACATGCTCACGGTCTCCGAATCTGCCATGCTGGCTATGCCTATCTTTAAGGCACTTTTATGGATGCTTTGGCCTTACCTTCGTAATTCTAGAAACAAGGGGCGTGCATCAGTACCAGAAGATACTATGTCCGAAGCAATTATTGCTACGAAAATCACTAAGGTGAGACCGAAGGATGCAGAACGATAAGAGAGTATTGTTGGCCATGAGGAACGTTGTGACTCGAATTTGAGGTAGGTCTTCCATCACCTCCTCTCCGCGGTACACGAAAGAGGCGAATGTGACTTGTGATGGTACCCTAACCTTGGTTAAAATGGTATTAGTGTGTCAGCTGAACAAACCAGGTCATGCGGTAGAGAAGGTGAAAATATTATCTGTTGTTGATTTAGGATGATCTTGAATAATGTGCACATAAAGGAGACAAATTCACAATTATAAATACGTGGGCAAGCGCATGGGTCAAGTAATTAATTAATTTGAACAATGTAACGTCCACGAGTCTTTGATATTTGTTAGGCCGATAACAGACGTAATCTACTGAAGGATAATCATCAGTAAGAAAAGCGTATTCTTTGATTACGTCACGTGTAAAACTAGCCATGGTGATGATTTTGGTTCTAGAAGCCAGTGTGATTTCGGCATGCGGGCAATTCAAGGTCATTCACGAAGAACACAGCTATGGCAGCAATTGTGGAAACGTCTGAAGGGCAATAATCCTCTAGCAGTTCGAATGTCCCGAAGAAAGATCTCGATTGCGAAGCCTATGGTTCCTAAAGCACCAGTGAGAAAGTCGAGGTGAGTTCTCTTCGTTACCCTCAGTCACAGGAAAAGTAAGATTTGTGACTTCCAATGGATCATTTGAGGCGGCGTCTGGACCAATTTCCAGTTGCATGACGCTCTGAGATCCTTGCTAATATCGCACCTCAACTTCTGTATCACATGTGTGTTGAACCCACACTTGGTATGGTGCGTTACTGGGGCATGAGTTGGTCATGTATACATTACAGAAGTCGAATGTAAATTATATTGTGTCGGTGTAGGGCACGCCTTGTGTTTTGTGTGGTTGGCAACGGCCATAAGAGTTTCCGACAGGCATGTTCAAGATCCGGTGAAAGGTTAATCGGACTTGGTAGACAAAGAATTGGTTAAATAACCAAAATCAGTTTGTTAATTAAAATTATCAAATCAGTTACTCATTTGTTAAATAGTTTGATCCATCAATAAGTTATTTAAAGAATCATGTTTTTACCAAATTGATCATTTCTTAAATTTATTTAATTAATTAATTTAGCAAATAATTCTAAGAATGACATCTTGTCATAATGTTTTTGTACTATTGTCACTCATTTGTGATAAATTAATATGGGTGTAGTTGTTACTAACTAAAATATTGATTGTAGTGGTTTTGATGATTTTTCTATTATAAATACTAGTAGAAACTTGTGCAATTGGGTGTATATTTGTTTTTGACATAATATAAGATTACTTGTGTATAAGGTCAATATATATACTTTTTTATTGTAAAAAATATTTTAATCCAAAATTAGGTTACATAAATTATTTAATTATTTTCAATGTTGAAGTACTTTGTAAGAAACAATAATGTATATTAATCTAATAAACTTTTTTATACTATTCTTTAGTAGAATTGTTAAATTTTTTTGGTACCATTATGAAAAAAAATATAATATATAATTAATTAAGAAAGAAGATATTTTTGCTAAATTTAGTCCATCATACTTCATTGTTTGGCCTTGAGATTTTTTTTTTTTTTTTTTTTTTTTTTTAATTGTCATTGCATAAACCACATAGAAGAAAAAATTTTTCCAACTTAAGGAAGATTTAACTTTTCAATAGTTAGAATAATTCTAAAAATGAATGCAATGTGGCCAAATTTTTCTCCAATCAATGTGTCAACTTCAATGTCTTAATTATTTAAACATTTGATAATTATCTTAGTTTTATTTTAGAGACCATTGGTTGAGTCATGATTACATAAAACCATCATGGATGTGCCAACTTCTAGCATGAACTTTTAAGGTGGTCACTTGTTTACTTGCAACATATCACATATTCCTTCTAAGACCATTTTTATACTTTTTGAATAGTCAACCTTGTGTATACTTAAAAATTCTCAATTTTTTCTTGGAATTGCTTCTAATATAGTTTAATTTATCATTGCAACTACATCATTGCTAGCCATCAAAATAACACATTTTGAAGAATAAATTTCTTTTCTAATTCTAATTTAGAGTTTTTGATATCAAGTACATTTTGAGATTTGCAATAAATACCACTTTTATAAATATTTTTAATTTACTTAGATAAATTTAAAGTGATATTACTTTACATTTGTATATCCATCTTTTATATATTGTTTTAAAAGTTAATTGATTTCAATAAAGAAGGTTTTACCTACATGCATTTAAAGCATGTAAATAAATAATTGTTATTGAGTTATGCATTTGGAATTTACTTCTATCTTCTTCAAATTTATTCAAAGTTATATTTAGATTCTATCTATCTTACCTAACTAAGAATATAAGCACATAATAAAGATATGAATAAGATGGATGCAACTTAAAAATATAGGAAAGATCTCTATGAATATTTTTGACAATAATGTCTTGTTTACTAGTAGTGCCATTGTTATCATCTACCAAAATCACACAAACTTATTTTTTGGTTTGCATATTAAATTATTGCGAGTCATTTTGCCAAAGCATTAGGAGTTAGACATTAAGATCCTTTAGAAGTCTACTTAATCTTTAGCCAATATTAACAAATAGTTGTGCATATAGATTGTAAGTGCCCAACATATTTTACGAAGCTTCTACCATTTTGTGCTCTAAACTAGTAAAGATTGACATCATGTTATTCAACTCAACTTTTGGATTGAAAATATATAACTAAACAAACCTAGAAGTTTTACATATAAATGGGAGAAGACTATCCATTTGATAGTATAGCTTTCTATATAAATGGTAAATAAATTTATGACCATTTATAAAATGCTAATTAATCAATGTAAAAGCTAATACATATACATGTATATGTTCTTGCAAAATATTTTAACATAAGAATATTAACTAAGTACATAATACATATACATGTATATGTTCTTACAAAATATTTTAATTTTGCAACTAGTACCTTCTAACATGTTGTACAAAGATTTTGGAGGAGAATTGAATAGAAGAAGAATGACTTTTCTATTCGTACATATGTTACAATGTAAATTCACCTTTGAAGTATTAGATACTTGTTTTTCTATCTTTTGAAGAGCTTAGCAATGGTCACAAGAGGTGATCATTTTTTCCAAGTGAATTACAAAGATTATTTGTCTCCCCTCCTTTCTTTATCCATCAAAAGTTAAATATGCAAGATAAATTCCATGTATCATGTGCCATGCTGCAAAAAGTACTTTTATATTCCTAATAATTTTTTATTGGCATTACACTTTTAAGTGAAATATGTAATGTGTTGTTTACTAATACTTTACTTCAAAGACGTTTATAAATTATATCTCATTTGTTGCATTACATCACTATATATATTGCATATTGCTCTTATTAATACACTATACAAACTGCATTTTTTTTCCTAGCCAATTAGTTCAAATGATCATAGTATTCTATAATTAAATAGTAAAAAAAAGAAAAAAGAAAAAGAAAAAAGAAAAAAATAATTTTCTTTATCAAAGATATTTCATGAATATTCTATTTTCAAAAGAAAAAAACAACTTACAAGCTTATTATAATCTTGCTATCCAAAATAACATGATGTTTCTATAATCTTTTTAAAGTTAAAATTAAATTAAAAAAATCTTTTTATTACTCTATTGATTATATAAAATTACTCTAGTTTTTTTTAATCTTTACAAAGCAAGAGTTGTTGAATCTATTAAATAATTTAAGATTCTAGTTAGTGTTTTAAGAGATCATTTGATTTCTATTTTATTTTTTGTTCTAGTTTTAAAAATATCTTTCTTTAAACAAAACAAAAAAAAATTAAAATAAGAATATTATTTATTTTTTTAAAAAAATATAAAATAATATTATATATATTATAAGAAATTGTTAAATTTATCTAGGCATTTATTATATTGATCCATCCATCTTATCCATCATTAAAAAAATAAATCACAATTGGATCCATATTTGTTGAAATCCAATTAAAAAAATGGTTGGATTTCCAAACAATGATGATAGAAGGATTGTAGTAAATGCATGGGTTGATTTAACAATTCTCATTTCATATTTTGTATAATTTAATATATAATATATATTGTACTGTGATATGTATTACATTGTACATATTAAATTGGTTTGTATATTATTGTGTATATACACATCTCATATATTTTTTATTAATTCAAATGTATAATTAAAATAATCAAAATTAATTTTAATTTTAATAAAATAGTAATATTAATAATAAAAAAACGAGATTTTAGTTAGTGGTATTAAATTTTAAAATCTATTGAAATTTTATATATTCTACATATTTTATTATAAAATATTTATATAGTATTTTATGTGAAATATGCTGGATATAATATATTTATATGTTTATTATATTGTGTGTGTGTATATATATCTTGGGTTTTTAAAAAATTACATCCTTCTTTCTAAAACTTAATATTCATTGTAAGAATTTGATTATGGAAATTTACATATTTATAAAAATAATATATTTAGGATGAATAATAATAGAATTAGGTAAAAAAACGTTTTTGACATGTTTAAAAAAATAAAAAATTTATTCCATAGTTTTTAAAAAATTCTCAAAATTTTGAAAACAAAAATCATTATAAAAACATGGTAATATTTGAATTCACTACATTATACAATTAAAAATATATATTTTTTAAAAATCGATCAAGAAAATAACATTTGATTTTTTTTCAATATATGGTAAAAATATGATTAAAATAACTTGTGTTTAAAATTTTAAAAAATTAATATATTTTAAAAATATGTTCGGATTTTAATATTGATATAGGTATGTAATAAAAATTATATCAAAAATCTTTTATACAATGAAAACAACTAGCTCAATTTTTTTGCTGCATTTAAATTGTTTTATGATATTTGAAAAGGTTTTTTAGATTGTTCCTAACTTTAATTGTTTTTATATTTTACAGAATCAACCAAATAGTACAATGCTAGCACAAACGTAATTTCTATATGAAAAAAATGATTTATATTTTTATAAATAATTATATATATATAATTTTGAGAAAATAATAATAATTATTTAATATGTCTTTTTATATGAATAGTATTCATACCTTTATTTAATTAAATTAGAAATAATAATTTTAAATTTATTTTAAATAGAGGCACATATGTTTATTTATTTATATTTATGCTTGTATACATACACATTATACTACCACTGTAGCATATTATTATAATAATACGTGAGTTTCTTCTT